CACCACCTGCAGAGGGGGCAGAGGCTCATGTCCGAGGTCTTCCTAAACTGGCCCCTCCCGTGGTTAGAGGCAGGGTCTCACTGAACCTGGAGCTTCCCAGGCAGCTGGGTTGGCTGGCCGGCCCTCCCGGATCTTATCTCTGCCCCTGTACCACTGGGATCACTGTGCTCAGCACCATACCTAGCTTTTGGGTTGTTCATTTTCATGTGGTCCCAGGAACCTGGATTCAGGTCCTCATGCTTGCATAGCAGCAGCCTTTTACTGACTAGCCGTCTCCCCAGCCTACAGTGTATTTAAGTTATAATCAAATGGCCAACTACCACAAATACGTGGAAAGTGGAAAGTTACACAGAAAAATCCATGGATCATGGCTTTGTCTATATTAAGAAAATTTCAGTAAGAAATTAACACTATAAATTTCATTACGTATAGAAAGAATCTAACCTGGCTTCTTTTACGAATTACATTAGTAGATCCAACCACAGAAATGCATGCTTAGGTTTTAGTAAGAACCTATGACTAAACTATCGATTTTGTCTTTTCAAAGTGATAGTGTGACCACAAATAGGAGTGTGAAATGCAAACCCAGGGGCAGGTTAGCACTTATTAAATACAACCCAGGCACAGGCCTGGCTGCGCTGTGGGGATCAAAAGCTGCTGGCTGCTGAGACATGCCTGGCTGGAGGAGTGTGCTGTGACCCTGCAAAGCAGACACTTGTCCCTTCACACGGCCTTTCAGCTAAGCGGAGGAAGCGCAGTAGGGTCTCAACATGCAACAATGTTCAGTGCTTATTATGACGCACAGGCGTCATCCCTATGATGACCACCTGATTCTGAGGTGCATCATTGAAGGACACAGGCAGGGCCTGACCTTGGCAGGTTTGCCTTCAGTAAGAGTCGCAAAGACAAAGGACACCACTAGTCACCACAGGATGAGAAGGGGCCAAGATCTACTGGGCGGATTGGTAAGCGGTCATGCTCTGGTGTGTGAGGAGAAGGGAGGCGGGCTCCAGTTTTCAGGAGCATCCTTACAGGAGGTCTAACCACGGGGCCTGTAAGAAGACAGATACATGAATCTCCAGGGAGGAGCTCTCAAGAGGAAAGCGACAGCTACAGGTCCGAGTCCTGTCTGACGCTCACAAAAACAGTCTTATGAGAAAGATTAACCTCACTTCGCAAGTGGGTAAACACGGTGTCAGAGTGACCTGACCGGGGCACAGCGCTGGTGGGTTAGCAGCTGGCCCTGGAAGCTGGGTTTGCTGGCCACCTGCTACGCAGCTCCCTTCTTTGTGCCTTTGTTCACCAGCCCAGAGGAGAGTGCGCTCTCTCCCAGTGTCAGGCAGTGAGAGGTCATCCCCTGCAGTGGCTGTTGTTATTAGTTGATGCCACTCATGTTTCTTGAGAGACTTGCTAAAGTTCGGATAAGTAAAAGTTATAAAAATGTTTTTAACGTTCCAAGATCAATTTCATTGTTTTCTTTCTGTGGCTTATTTCCTTTTCTTTTCTTTTTGAGTGGATCATTTTAATACCAGGCTGTCACTTAAAGTAATTATCATTCTGTGGATATTAGAAATTAGTGATAGAGGCCATTATGATTTAACATGAGAAAGGACCGGGGGGGGGGGGGGGGAAGACCAGGGAGACTCGTAGTGCAGTGATTCCCAGAGAATGAATGGCATTCCTCAGCAGAGGCAACAAGTTAAAAATCAAAGAGACCAGAAAGGTAGAAACCTGTAGGAAGGGCAAGCATGGCAGGAAGAGGCCTGGAGTAGAGGTGAAAAAAAAAAGGTAAAATAAAAACTTGAGAATACTGGACACAAAAATAACATGAAAGAAAAAAAATGGACCAAGAATCGGATTTCTGACACAGTAACCTAGAGAGCCGGTGGAATTACCAGCGGGTGGGGGTGTGTGGGGGGGGGGGGGGGGCTGAAAGATGAGCAGTTTCATTTGCCCAGTGCTGGGTCTAAGGTGGCAGCCAGGTTCTCATGAGTGGAAAGGGTCTCAGAGATAAGAGAGAAATTTGGGCATGTGTGCTACTGAGAGCTGTTTGTCCATTAGGGTGACCTCCAAAGCAGGTGCCTTGTGAGTGTTCGGAATATAGCCACTTTGACCTGGCATGTGCTTTCAGTATAAGCACATGTTTAAAGAAACAAAACAAAACAAAACAAACAAAAAACCCCCACAAGTTTAAAGAAAAAAATGGGGACGGGGTCTTTGTTTTAGATAGGATCTTCTTTTATGGCTCAGGGAAGCGTTGAGCTCACAATCCTACCTCTGTCTCCCAAGTGCTGGGATAACAAGCATGAACCACCATGCACAGGGCATGATTTTGTATGAAAAAGATGTGTAAAATTCCTTAACTTTTTTGTATTGGTTGCATGTGGGAGTAAAACTTGCCCAGGGTGGGTCAAGTGTTAAAATGTATTTCAAGAGTCTCTGCTTTTTCAAATGTGCCTACCAGAAATTGAAAGTCACATACATGCTTTAGGTTGTATTTCTATCAGATATAATGGACTCATAAAGTACATGGTCTTGTATAATATTCTGTTTTGAGACAGTCACTGTTCAACTCCTGCAGATAACCCAGGCTGGCCGCAGTCTCCAAACCCTCCTACTTCAGTCCCCCACACACTAGAATTGCGCGCATGCATGTCAATATCCTGCCACAACATCGCTTTTTATGGAAGAGAATCCTGGCCTGCGATCACATAAATGTGGAGCGGAGACTCAAACTCCTGCATGACACGAGACCACATCAACTTCAGAACGAGCCTACCTCTCAGGTTACTAAATGGTTAGATTTTCAATGGTGGAAGCATCAGTTCATTAGAATGGTTCCTTAGTGACAGCCTGATGTTATTATTCATAACTGAAGCCAAACACAGGTAAATGTCAACATGTGACCTCTGAGGTACGGCGAGCTATTGATGACGACCACACAGTTTCGCAAAGTCTCCATTCTACTTGCTCCTAGCAATTCCACCTCCCCCCAAGTCAAATGGTCCATATCTAATTGTCCAACAGGGAAAAACATCACAGATATAACCCTGAACGGAAGGGCCCTGCTTTCTGAACATAAATGGATGCGTGACACAGACACACTTAACACATTTCCAGCAGACTTTCAGACCACGGCATCTCCACTTCCCCAACTAAAACACATTCCATTCGCCCCTTCACTGAAGAGTCAAAGCACCGAGCTTACCCAGCTGGATAATTTAAGAATACATTGTGCCTGTATAGTGGTTCCCACCTGTAATCCCAGAACTCAGCAGGTGGAGGCAGGATGACTGAGAGCTTGAAGATAGCCTGAACTATGAGGTTCTGACTTAAAACAAAACAGCTCAAGAAACAAAACCTTGCTTTCTTACTTTTTGCTAGAATGCTAACAGTAAAATCTCCTGCAAATATGAACTGAAACAAACAAACAAAAAAAAAAATAGGCATCATTATGTTTAATTGGTTTTAAAATAAAAAAAAAAAGTTTTACTCTCTATACCTAGCTGGATGAGACTAGCTGAGGACCAGCAGGCTGTACAATGTTAACTCTCTCCTTTTCCAATCTTCTCATGTAAATGCATTAGGTGGTTTGTCTCTTGAGTATGATAAACATGCTTCCCTATGCCAATAGCAAACCACTGGCAGACATTCACACTGTGCAAATGGGGAAAGGGAAACTTAAGTAGCATTTTTTTTTTTTTTTTTTTTTTTTGCAATGAGACTAGTTGGCAGAGACATCTTGGCCTGGGTATGAAAGAGTCACTCACCTACTTATGAATGCGACCCCCCCCTCCCTCTCTGCACCATCTCTCAAAAGTGACATCGCTTGATCTGGACACAGGCTTGACAATGCTCATCGAAAAGGAGCTCCCAGCAACACAGGATAAAGATTGTACCACTTGCCCTTGACTTTGGCTCTTTCAGGTTAATGCCCATGGGCTGTTTCATTGAGTTGAAGTATTCTGGGAAGTTTTTTCCTAACTAAAATCTCTTGTCTATTTTGGGACAAAGATTCAGAACCCAGAGAGACTGCCAGTGAGTGCTAAAGAGGCTCTGACCACTCAGATGTCGGAAGACTCAAGCGGCAGAGGAAGCATGAGGTAGCCACCGACCTTCTGATCCCTGTGTCCCCTCCTCCCACAGTGCACTTTAGATTCTCATCACCCCTGTTAAGGGGACAGTTCTTGTGCTTCACTTCAAGGAGACTCCTGTCTCCCACGAATCATAGCATAAAGTACTTTCCTTTGCTGTTTTTTTTTTTTTTTCTTTTTTTTAATAAATGATGCATGCCAGGCACTGTTAACAAAGACTGTTCACCAAAACTTGCATTTTGATGAGGGAGACATTCAATACACTAAGCAAACAGATTATAGCATGCTTAATGAAATGAAGGAGGTAGGGAGAATAAGAAAATTGAGGGGTGGGCTGGAATTCTAGTGCTAAGACTTAATATTCAACCAAGTAGCGAGGGTGACCCTAAAACGGCGTGAGAGGAGGGGGGCAATTTGGGCTGGCTGGTGTCAGGTGGGGCAAAGAAGGGGACAGGAGCTCTAGGTATTTAGCAAGCCCTGAAGTGGAGGCGAAAAGACAAAGACCAATGAAGACGAACTCGGATTTGAAGACAAACGCAGGATTTGTGAGTCTCTTTGCTTTAGCGGGGAGGTGGTTTTTTTGAGACTGGGTGTCTCACCGTGGCCCAGGCTGGCCTCGAACGCGCGGCAATCCTCCTGCCTCCGCTCCCTTTGGGCCGGCACCGCCGCCCACCCAGGACCGGCTCCCTGCGAGCTCAGCAGCACACAGTCTCCGCCTTTGTGCCCCGGCGCCTGGCTTCGCGGGGTCCCTCGGCGGGCGGCTCGGGGAGAGCGTTGGGCCCCGGCTACAGCGCCGACACGCCCCCGCGCCCCGTAACCCGCCGGCGCCCCGGCCCTGCGCCCCGCATCCCCCGGCCCCAACGTCCGCCGCCCTCCCGGACGAGGCTCGCGGCCCCACTCGCTCACCATGGCCGCGCGGCCGCGATGCGCTGTCCAGGGTAGCCGCCTTCCTCTGCGCCGCGCCGCGCGCCGCCCGCGCTAGTCACTCGCCCCCGCCCCCGCGTGCGTCGCCCGCCTCCCCGCCCCCTCGGGCGCGCGCCGCGCCCTGCCCGCTCCGGGCCGTTTCCCCCCCGCCCCACGCCGCTCGCCCTCGGGGGACCACGGGGGCGGGGAGAGGGGAAGGGGGCGGAGCCGGGGGGCGGGCCGCTGGACCCTGGCCCCGGAGGCCTGCGCGCCCCCAGCCCGCCACGGCCCGGCGCCCCCTGCCGGTCAGGCGGGGATTTGCAAGCCCAGCCGGCGCCTTTTGCACGCGCCTAGGCGCATCTTTCATCAGGTGCCTGGAGGAGCCACCTGCAGCCCCTCCCTACCCCCCACGACAGGCCAGTTCTAAGGAGCAGGGGCGGGGCGAGCGCCACGTGATTTAAATTGGGCACCCAGGTTTGCCGCGTGTAAGTGGTGTAGATTATGTCCTGGGCTTGGGCGGTGCATGCCTGTAATCCCAGCACTTGGGTAACAGAGACAGGGGGAAAATAAAAGAGAGTTCAAGGTCAGCCTTGGCTTCTTAGTGAGTTCCGCACCAACTCGAGCTTAATGAAACCATGCTTCAAATAAGTAAATAAATTAACAAACAAAAACTCCATTTCTCTTGGGGGCCACTGTCAACATGTTGGCACCAATATCGGTCTAAGTTGACTTTTTCGAAAAGATCTTACTTCCAGAAGTGTCAGGGGCTCGGGTGGCTTATTCAATGCTTCATTACCGGTGAACAGAATTAGATGCTGGGCCTTTGTGTGTCACATGACTGCTTTTCATTTTTCCTTCAGAATGAGCACATATAATTCCACGGCCACCCAGGACCCGCTACCATCAAAGTTGTGAAGTATAGGTTATGGCTGCTGTCCTTTTTTGTGTGTGGTTTTTCATCTGAAACAGCCCTTCCTTTGACAACTTCTCCGATGGTCCATTTTTCTTCTGCCAACTTGGCAAGCTTTAGAATCACCAAGGAGATTCTCTCGGCGAGTCTGGGAAGACGCTTCCAGAGAGTTTCAAATGAAGTAGAAGTACAAATTCTGTGAATAGAACCATCACATGAATGAAGAGGAGGAAGTGGTCTGGACACGAATTAGTTGTCCCTCCCTACTAACTGTGGACACAATGAGATCAACTGCCTCGAAATCTTGCTACCGTGATTTTTCAACCACGACAGACCATACCCTTGAACAGTGAGCCAAAATAAAACTGGTTCCTGTCTTAGGATTTCTATTGCTTTGGTAAAATGCCATGACTGCTTGGGGAGGAAAGGGTTTATTTCACTTACACTTCCAAAGTCCATCATTAAAGGAAGTCAGAGCAGGAACCAAAGCAGAGACCAGGCAGGAGTGTGGCTTACTGGTTCGATCAGCCTGCTTCCTTATAGCACTCAGTGCCACCAGCCCAGGGGTCCACCTGAAGTGAGCTAGGTGTTCTTACAACAGTCGTCAAGCAAGAAAATGTCCCACAGGCTTGCCCACAGTCTCATCTGGTGAGGGCATTTTCTCAATGGAAGTGTCTTATTCCCAAATGACTCTAGTTTATGTGAAATTGATATAAAATCATCCAACATAGAGGTAAGCAAAACAGGATTAGTCTCTGTGTATGTAATTAACATTTTTATTAACATTAGTAAATAAGGGAAGCTAGGGAGGAAAAAACCTAATGCTGTTCAATGGTCTGAAGCCTTGTTGGCTGCCTGCTAGAACTAGATGGTAAGACCCCATTGCTGAAGACATCACCTGCTTAGGCTGCAGGACACAAGGAAATCAAGCTGGAACTGATCTGAAAGTTTCTAGCTTTCACAGTGCCCAAATGTGCTGCACAGGCTCCTGGGAAGAACATCTCTTTATGATCTTACCCAGAAGTGGGCCTGAGTACCGCCATACTGAATGTCCAGGTAAACTGTGGCTTCTCGGGCTTTCATAGTGTCCCCATAGACTCCTGTGTTTGAGTGCTTGGCCATAGGGAGTTGTACTCTCAGGAGGTGCTGCCTTGTTGGAGAACGTATGTACTGTGGAGGTGGGCTTTGAGGTCTCCTAGATGCTATGAACTTAGATCTAGCGTGGCAGGCTCTTTCTGCTGCCTTTCGGATCAGGATGCAGAACTCTCAGCTCCCTTTTCAGCCCCACGTCTGCCTGCACACTTCTATGCTTCCCACCATGATGAGGATGGCCTAAACCCCTGCAACTGTAAGCCAGCCTCAGTGAACTTTTTTCCTTCGTAAGAATCTCCATGGTCTTGGTGTCTCTTCACAGCAACAAAAGCCTCACTACGACAAGTGGCCTGACTGTTGTGGGTGATAACCGACCACTTTCTGGTGTGATTTGAGGCCTACTCTGCAGTAACAAATTTATACCTGGCATTGCATCCCAAAGCCAATATCTGGGGAGGTCATAGGCCCTAGGGAGAACCTGCTGCTATTGCTTTGCTAAATGTATGTGTTGTTCCTTCTAAGCATTTATGTTTACTCCCATCTTTTAGTGCTACATTCTGCCTCAGTCAGTATTCTAGTTTGCTGTGATACTCTGGACAGAAACCAGCTGGGGGTTTGCCCTACCTTTCCAGGCCACGGTCCATCACTGAGGGAAATCAGACCAGGAACTGAGGGAGGAAACGTGAGGGCTGCCTCTCACTTGCTCTTTGGCTTGCTCAGCCGTATTTCTTATGGATCCCAGACCCACCTGCCTGGGACTGCAGCCGCCCAAAGTGAGCTGCTCGCTCTGACATCAATCACCAATCAAGACAGTCTTTCTCAGGTGCAGCCACATGCCAACCCTGATTCCTTCCAACACCTGAATATTAGGCAGGAGAGAAAGAGAGTTAGTGGGGAGAGGGGTCGAAGTTCTCTTTAGCTACCTCCTGCTGGTTAGGGTCACTGGGTTCCTCAGGACGAGTCCAATCTTCATTCCAAGATATCTTCAAGTTCTCGTCAAACTGAAACAACAACCAGGAGCAGCAAGCAGAAAGCCCCAGCCCTCTCCCTGGGCTCTGGCCTTTATTCCCTCTCCAGAGTCCTCCTCAGAATTAAATTATCTCCACCTGGCAAAGATTACTCCCCTCTCAGAGCCCACTCAAGGCAAATAGTCTGCTGCTGTGGACACTCTAAAGCAAACCCATATCCCATACCTGGGATTAAGACAAAAACATGTTTACACAACATAACTGAATTTTTAACGACACTAAACCTTCCACTACAGCCAAATGTCAAGCTCATTGAGGCTATTCTTCAACTGAGGTTTTGTCTTCTCCAGCGACGTTAGGCTTGTATCAGGTCATGAGACCTAACCAGAGCAGTTGGAGAAACTTTTTTTGGCAGAGGCAGTGGTTAATGCAGAGACTCATAACTGCTTAAAAATGATGAGAACGGGTGAGTGTTGAGTCCTCAACCCTAAATGTGACATCGGTATCACTCCTACCCAAAGCCCAGGGAACATCAGAGAGAGGGGTCAGAAAGAATGCCTGTGCCAGAGGACGAAGATGAGAACGAAGATGAAATGCTATCTTCTGGATATGCCGTGACTGTTTACAACGCATGAACTACAGCAGGCTATGGTTATCCATTAAAGACCACGAGATTGAGCCCTCTACACACAAATGGGAGGGGCTCCTGAGGCCCCATCCCTAGCTGAAGAGCCCTTGGTTAGTTAATGGCTGCTGGGTTAAGAGGAGGCATTTTTCTTCAATGGTATAGCCACAGGGAAGAAAACTGTGTTTCAGTAAATAAACCCACGCTCATGTTCATTGAGTCACCAAAACTCAGAGGGTCATCAAAACAAAGGCATGAAAGTAGGAAGGGTCATGTTGGAAAGAAGTCAAGAAAGAAGGAAGGGGCTAAATGGAGGCTAATGGGTAAGGGGACTAGGATCAAAGTATATCATATGCATGTGTAAAACTGTCAAAGCATATTAAAAAAAAAAAGCGTGAAGAGCCTTTTCCTCGGCATGTGGTTCAGTCGCACACACTGCTACAATCGATGTCCGGGAAACAGGACACAGGGATCTTAAAGTTAACAAACTCAGGGCAGAGAGGTCCGCCATCATTCTTCCAGGTGACATGTGGTGTTTTCTGGTAACTACTGAGTACTTACAGCAGTTCAGTAACACTAACCCCAGTGTACACATAAGGAAACTGAGGCTTGGGAAGGTCAAATAATATACAGAAGGTCACGGGGGCATGTTGGGTCAGTCTCACAGTGCCATGCTGCCTTGGGGCAATCTTATCTTTAACAACCTTAGGGGTTTGGAAGATGGCTGAGGGATTATTGCATTTACTATCCCCGAGACCCAAGTAAAGGCCAAGTGTGGCCGTGTGCGTCTGTAACACCGGCACTCAGGGGTGGAAGGAGAGATAGGGGGATGCTGGGGCTCGCTGGTCAGCTGGTCTAGTTGAAAGAGCATATTTTGGGTTCAGTGAGAGCAACGTTCTCTTTAAATAAGGTGAAGAAGTAATTAAGGACACCACTCAACATCCACCACTGGTCTCCGCACACAGCTGTATGAGTACGCAACACACACACACACACACAGACAGAGACAGAGGGAGAAACAGAGAGAGACCTTATCAATTTGGCAGATCCAATTATTTTCCAAAAACCATTTGTTCATTTACTGGGTGTCAATTGCTTTTAGGATGCTGTTCCCTGCTGACCCTAGGAGAATCTCACAACATTGTTCTAGGATTGGGTTGCAGCAAAAGGGACAGCTCTGCCTACATGGCTTAAAGATGACAGGGCCAGAGAGTGACAGATTAATTTAGTAGGTACAGCAAAGCGGAAATTCTACAGCTATTGCCCAAGGTCCAAAACATAAGCTCATGCGTTCTTCAATGGCTTGGTTAGTAGAGGGGGGACTGTAAAACCCCAGCTCATGTCATTACCCTTTTCCGGCTATGAGCACTGCAGGCTAGAAGAGCAAGCAAAGCGTGTGACTTCAAGTGGTTTTATTTCCTCTAATTGTGAAGCTCTTTAGAAGCAGATGGGATATGCAGGCACATACTTTTGAT